CCTCTTTTTTAAGTTTTTTATTATTGAACATGGTTTTATCAAAGTGCCAATTAGATAGTTGTTTTCATTTTCAGTTGGAGTTGAGTGAGCAACTAACTAGGAGATGGTCTAAGTTACCAAAGTGCATAGCAACCTTAGAGACTAAGTGTGATTGATTTTCATCAATAAATATGTAGTCTAAACATATTGCCATCATGTTACCACCTTGTGTTTTTTGGTGAAATGTGAGAAAAGGCTTAGAGTCTGCAATTTCTGCAGTGTTTAAAAAATTTCTTGTTAAATCCAACAGTTGGTTTCTTGATGGGTCTGGCTGAAGTGCTGCTTGACTTATTCTGTTTGCTTCAGGTTTTAGGTTTATGTTGAAGTCTCTTGCTATAATGTTTATTGTGTTTTCTTTTATTTGAGAAGTCCAGTTGTCAAAAAATGGTACTCTGTTGCTAATGTTCGGAGGTGCATACACATTAGTGATATGAAATAAGAGACCTTTGTAGACAAATGATGCTGTAATAACTCATCCATCATTGTTTACTTTCATATTTTTAAAGGTAATGTTTCTGTTTTCAGCCAGAATTGCCACTTTGTCGGATCAGAATGAGTCAAATATCCATTGGTGTTTTAAAAAGTTTCTAGTATTTTCATTGTTGAAATTAGTTTCTTGTATCATTATTAAATCTAAATTGTAGGATTTTAAGAGTGTTAATGTTTTTTGCTGTTTGCCTTGGTCATTTAGTCCTTTTACATTCAAAGTTGCAATTTTAAGTTTGTAAGCTCTTTCCTTTTTTATCTTTGTCTTTTTTACGAGATGGCATAGGGGTCTTCTCATTGTCAACTTCCATTATTGGTGATGTTTCTTCTGTGCTTTTGTTTTCTACCTGTGGTTCTGCATTAAGATACAGTGCAGCCAGTTCATCGCATGGTGTTGATATTGGGTCAGGTGAGAGATCCTTATCTTTACTTGGTGTAGAGTTTCTTTTATCATTATCTATTTCCATTGAAGGTGACAAAGGTCTCTTTTGTTCATCTTGTGTTAAATTATTTTCTTGTAAGCTCACACCATCTGTGATAGATGCATCATCTTGCAAGTATGGGTTTTCTTCTTTGTTAGCAGAACTACCTGCATGGGGTTCTTGTT